AAAATATGAATGGAATGATAAATCACAAGTACAAACTCATCATATTTTTTGCATTTTAGATAGGATTTATTCAGCAAAATTTAAGGGTGACGTCATCAATTTTTTTAGGAGGGATGAACAAATACATTTTGAACAAAAGTTTACCATGCTTATAATAACTTTAAAATATTCCCAAGATTTCAAAGCATTCGGTTTTGTAATTCCTGATTAAATCGATAAAATAAATTCACGCCTTCATTATTTTTTTTCAGTCACCCTGCATATGCAAATCCAAAAATATGAATGGAATGATAAATCACAAGTACAGACTCATCATATTTTGTACATTTTAGATACGATTTATTCGGCAAACTTTTGAGCTGACGTCATCAGTTTTTTGTAGAAGATAACCAAATATATTTTGACTAAAAATTTATTATGCTCTTTATAACCTTACAACATCTGCAAGATTTCAAAGCATTCGGTTTTGTAGTTCCTGATTAAATCAATAAAATAAATTTACGCATTCATTAATTTTTTTGAGTCACCCTGTATATGCAAATCGAAAAAATTTGAATGGAATGATAAATCACAAGAAGAGACTCACCATATTTTGTACATTTTAGATAGGATTTATTCAGCAAAATTTTGTGGTGACATCATAAATTTTTTAGGGGGGACGACCAAATACGTTTTGATCAAAAATTTACCATGCTTATGATAATTTTAAAATATCTTCAAGATTTCGAAGCATTCGGTTTTGTAGTTCCTGAGTAAATCAGTAAAATAAATTTACGCTTTCATTTATTTTCTTGAATCACCCTGTATATGCAAATCCAAAAGATATGAATGGAGTGATAGATCACAAGTACAGACTGATCATATTTTGTACATTTTAGATATGATTTATTCGGCAAATTTTCGAGCTGACGTCATCAAGTTTTTGGAGGGGATAAGCAAATATATTTTGACTAAACATTTATTATGCTCTTTATGACCTTAAAACATCTGCAAGATTTCAGAGCATTCGGTTTTGTAGTTCCTGATTAAATCAATAAAATATATTTACGCATTCATTAATTTTTTTGAGTCACCCTGTATATGCAAATCCAAAAAATATGAATGGAGTGATAGATCACAAGTACAGACTCATCATATTTTGTACATTTTAGATATGATTTATTCCACAAACTTTTGAGCTGACGTCATCAAGTTTTTGGAGGGGATAAGCAAATATTTTTTGACTAAAGATTTATGATGCTCTTTATAGCCTTAAAACATCTGCAACATTTCAAAGCATTCTGGTTAGCAGATTAAAAATTAAATTTCAAAATGTTGTTTTATAATTTTGATTTTTTTTCCAAAAATCTGGACGTTTCGGGTGAAAAGTCGATTCAGAGTTGTAAACTACATGTGTAGGACTATGTTATTTTATACAATTGAAAACCCATTTACTATGTACAATTTTGAAGTGACGTCATCGCATTAGTGGTGGGGATGATTAGACAAATTTTGGTTAGCGTTTTACCATCTACATGATATTCTTAATATAAGTACAAAATTTCACAACAATCGGTCGAGTACTTTCGGAGATTATCTGTCTAATAAAAATCCGGGACAACAGACGGACAGACGGACAGACGGACAGACGGACGGACAGACGGACAGACGGACAGACGGACAGACAGACGGAAATGGGAGACCTATTTCTTCGTCTTCTAGGGGTCATGAAAGATCGAGAAAACGTAAAAGTAGAGAGTCGGCCAACGGACTCGATTACAATACTTCCTTTGCTTACGCTCGGGAAGTAAAAACGTGACGCACAGAATCAAATTTTCGGACATTTTGAAACGTAGTACCGCCCATGAATAGAGGCGAATTTTCTTAAAAGTTGTTTTGAACTTGCTAGAAGTAGGTACTCACGACAAAACTCAGTGTGTACAGGCTAAAAGCAAAAAACCCGTTCCGAACTGTTCGGAAGAGGAGTTACGAACATGTTGCGCATTAGTTCAGAACACACATTTTGGTGTGAACCAGGCATAGATTTCTTTCTTCCGGAAAAAATTCTAAGGAAGCGCTGTCCATACAAGTGTGGACAATATCAAAGATATTTAAAGCAGGCAACCAACGGGAAAAAATGTAGATCTCTTAATTTCTCAGTGCATGCTTAACAGTTTATGTATTTATATTTCGAAAGGATTCGACTATTAGCACCGTGATTAGCACGTTCAGATTTACAAGCACCAATGGTTAAAATAAAATGTAATTTGACTGATTTTATCCACTCAACGCAGAGTAAAGGATTAATTAATTAAAACGGCACAGTTAGTAACTTACACGAAAAAAATTTGTTGAACAATTTATCATATTTACAATAAACTTAGACCGTTTGCAAAATTCCAGAACATTCGATCTTGCAGTTTCAAAGTTAAACTCAAAAATATTTTTATACAGGGTCATTCAGCATTCAGCCGAACAACCGGTCTGCAACCCAAAATACATTAGACGCATATTCCTTGATTCAGTTCTTAATTTAAAAAAGAACAGAAGTCCTTGTAGTGATTCATCTCATTTACGATGTCAAATTCAAACATAACATGACATTTCAAATTTAATCCATGAGGCAACTTGTTTCAGTAAAACGCATTACATTAAAGATTTAATTTTTATTAAATGTAACGAAACGAATGACTAAGAAAATAAAGTAACTATAACAAATGTTCTATGCGTTCCCCGTTCCGCTCACATAACTACTTCTACTCGAACCATAAATGAGTGCCTCACACGTTCTAACACTGCTGGACTAATTGATGCACACGTTTCAATTATTTGTCTTTGCAGTTAATCCATGCCTTCAATTTCTTTAATAGTTCCCCACAAAAAATAATCCAGGGATCAAGTCAGGGTTTCTGGCAGGGCAAGGATTAATGCGACAAATCCAAGATCGCCAAGTTGTTCTCTAACAAATCGGTAAAACTGCAATATTCGAGGGTAATCAACCTCTCGTAGTTCCTCTTTAAAATTCTACATACAGAAGCCTCACTTATCCCTGACCTGACCTGACGTGATCTGACCTCCACTGCAACAGCCTTTTGACGAATGTGGGGATGTACGGCAACGCTGGCCAAAACTGTTATTTTGTTATCAACACTTGTTGCAAACCGAACACTTCGTCGTTTACTAAAGAGTCAATCTCGCATTAAACATTTTTCTAGCCTTTTGAAAATCTGCTCTGTTCTCTGTTGGAATTCTGCGTAGAGTACCGTCCAGCACATAGCCTTTTTGCAGCTACGCGTTTTTGCGACATTCTCCGTAAATTAGAATCATATATGTTTTTTCACCATTAGTGAATGAAAATTTCGGCATTTTTTAACCTTTCAAAATAATGAAAATCTATCTGTCAAATACGGACAGCAATTAAACAACGTCAATTTAGATTCATGGTGTTTTTGAAAACGAAATATAAATCAAGGAATAAATCAATACTGTATGTGGGGCTGCCTATTCGCTCTTTTATTTAAGCTGAATAGCCCTGTATATGTAATTCATTTTTTACGATCACCCCTATGAGTTAAAACAAAGAAATGTCTGGACTGTTTAAGTACAGGTAAAGAAACATGATACGCGTGTATTTCAAGTGAATTTTTTCGTAATAAAATTTTGTGACGTCATCAAGGACATATGTCAATTTGAATGGGTGCAGTGTAATAGCAATAATAATAGTAGTACTGTATATTCAAATTTTCGAAAATCGGGGTGAGTCGTTCCCGATTTGATCAATAAAATATATAGATTACCTTATTCATTAAGTTTGTTGTGTTGCGCTGTATAACTAAATCTAAAAAAAAAAAAAAATGAATGCATGCTTAAACCACAAGTATAGGTTCGTAATATTTAACATATTTTAGGTAGGAATTATTCGGCAAAATTTTTAGATCACATTATTAATGTTTTAGGAGAGGATAAATGGATATGTTTTGACTAACAATCTGCCGTACTTCCAATAACTTTAAAATGTCTGCTAGGTTTCAAAGTATTCAGTTTTGCACTTCTTGATTCATTCAATAAAATAAATTGACTCATTCATTTTTTTTGAGTCACTCTGTATAAGCAAATCTAGAAAATATGAATGCAGTGATTAACGATTTACAATGCTTATAACCCTTGCAAGTATTTGGTTTTATAGTTTCAAAGTTAAATTGCAAAATGTTGTTATACAATTTTGACTTTTTTTCCAAAGATATGGACATTTAGGGTAAAAAATCCACACGGATGCGTAAATCACAAGTGCAGGAGTATCTTACTTTATAAAATTTAAATAACATTTACTATAGTAAATTTTAGAGATGATTTTGTGCAATCATTGTCGGTGGGGATGATTAGATACATTTTGATTAGAATTTTACCATCTACACGACATTTCATGTTCCACCTCGGAACGTCAGAAACCCGATTCTATTTGATATGCCATTTCATCGCACAAATTATTCATCAAACTCTATCGTTCCGAGACTGTCGAACTTGCAAATAAATACCGCCGTTACATTAGCCTTTTTAATGTGTCTAGTTTTATATTTAAACGCTCAGTGCGTACAGCACTGAAAATGTAACTACGTACATGTTGTGTAATGATGAATCCGTTAATAAATCAATTATTATTATTCCTAACATACCATACATATAAAGTTTCACCATAATGATCCGGTTTCGAATGAACTTATGTGGCAAACACGGAACGAGAACTGCAAGATAATTTTAGGAGTTTGGTACGATGTTTGAAAAAAAGTCACGGAATATGCAGAGAAAATAACACCATGTTGAGACTGTGGTTGCCTATACTATACTATAAGCTTTAATTTATGTTGAAAATATGTATTGGGTGTTTAAATAAAAACCTGGTCAAGAGCGTTATGTCCCCAGATTTTGGTTGTTTTCTTTACGTCGTTTCCGAAGTGAATTTTGAAAGTTTTCAACCGGTTGTTACATCGACTGTCGTGAATTAATAACCTTTAAATTGAGTTTGACATCGAAATGACAACGTGATGACAACTGTCTCCAACACGATGATAAACACTACGACATACGAAAAAAAAAAACAATAAATAAGAAGGCAGCCCTCTTGACCTAGTTTTTAATTAGACACCCGTAAGTTAAATATTTTTGCCACAAATCGTCTACTCGTAATGCTTTTGGAGCTAATTTATGATTTTCTTGCCACTAATCTAAAATCTGTTTTTTCTGAAGCTAATTTATCTGCGTATTGTTTAAGATTTTACTAATTAAATAATAACTATAGTTTTAATAATTTTAAGTCAAGCTATTTAGAACAAACATTAATAAAAAAAAACTACGTTTCGACATATGTTTACTAATATTTCTGGACCTACGTATGTTTTCATATTATTATAGTGTTCGTAACAAAATCTTTGCGATGTCAAACTACTTTAAAGGTTGTAAAAACAAAATACCACATAACAAACACATCAAACTTTGTCTTATTCTGTAGTTTTATTTATTTTTCAGAAAAATACACCTTTTTTCGTAGATTTAAAAATTGGCAGCAATAATGTCAAAGGACAAAGAAGTAATTATTTTTTTTGTACTACAATCACATTTGGCAACACCGTCGAGATGAGGGCAGTGTACTCCAGAACCTGTGCAAGAGATTAAAGTTTACCTACGCTTACCTGACTAGAGCACTGGAATGTGTTTGAAAAGAACTGCTGTAAATGACGACGGTGATCGGTGATACCATTGTAGCATGTGTAAGACACGTGGTTTCGTATACCAAACAATTATTTAACTTAAAAATTTGATTGTAATGGTGTTGTGATGTTGCAATAAAATTGCAAGTGAAAATAGTAGTCGGTAAGTTCGCAAGTTGGTATTTTTTTATTGGTTAGAGTGGGGCATTTATTAAAGACGTGCGCTGATTTATTGCGCATTAAGTACGAAATCATGTTACGTCCAAGTTATCAATTTTCAATATTTAAAATGTAATCTACTACAATAAGTACAATAAAAGAAATAATAAAAAACTTATAAAAGTTGACACGGATAATTTATTGTGTACATAAAACAATATAGTAAGTGCATTCTGTAAATATTCTAATTTAAAGTACAGGATTATGACTTGATAAAATTAAGAATAACATAACCAACAAAAAATTAACAATCGTAAAACTTGATGCATATCTGACAATAAAAATTGGTCAAAAGTGATTTCGCAAGATCTTCCCTCGCCCATGAAACACAATACAATAAATCCAGCTTTTCCGAAAAATTATAAAATTTGATTTTGCGAATTTTATTTTTTATGATAACCCTTATAAATTTATAAGTTAAAATAAAAATATGCGTGTAATGTTAAAATAAAGGTAAAGAAAATTACAAAATTTTGGGATCATGTCATCATCACTGCAAAGACACGTTATCAATTTGGATAGATTCAATGTAATAGTAATAATAACAGTACTGTATTCCTAAATTTTCGGGAATGTGCATTGAGTCGTTCTTGATTTAATCAATACAATAAATTGCATAAATTGCCGCATTCATTAATTTTTTTGAGTGACCCTGTATAAATACAGAGTGATTATTTTATTTGTTCACGCCTGAATCCGTTCATGTAGGCAACATATTATACATACCGTAAGCAACTTTGATTAATTTATTAATGTTTCTAAATTAGCAATCATAGTTAAATGCAACAAAACAAAAATCACACTATGTCGTAATGACAACACTGAGATCAAACAACTAATGATGGCAAAATTTAAGGAAATAGAGCGTAATTATTCGATCTTTAAACGAATATAAATAAAATAAAATAAATAAATAGGTATCTTATAATAAGTACTCAAACTGCCCACCTTACACACACAGCACTAACTGCGTTCAAAATTTCTACGTAGTGTAATTAGAATCTCGGGTGTTTTATGAATATCTTGTACGACACCATGATCCTTTCCGCGCAAATGATCTTCATTTTGAATTGGAACAGCTGAAATGGCATGGGTGAAATCGATTTGCCCTCAGAATGTTAAAAACCAAACTCTGACTAATCTAAAAATTCTAAATTGGCAATTTTGTATGGGAATCGCCACTTCGCATTATTTTCAATAGTTGGCGTTCATGACGGACCTATCGTCTAACTGACGTGCTATACAAAACTATTTCTTCCGTCATTTCTTTCGTGCGATTGTGAAAAGTATATTGCATTTGAAATCGTTCTTTGTTTTTTCGTAAAAAAAAACGTCGTGTATTTTAGGAAAACTCTTGGTTAAAGTGAATTTAGGTAGGTACACTTTGCGAAAGTTTGTCATTAACTTCGATTTGCCATTCTATTTATTGACTTCGACAAAACCTCAAACTTTAGCGTGATTCGAGAATTTAATTTGAGGTTTCCAATATTTTAAAATTCTCAAGACAAAATTTACAGATTTGGTTGACTGTGAAAATAATTCTGTGTCTTTTGATAAAGTTCATTACAATGCCGAGGAGAAGACAAACTGACATAGCAGCACTTTGATTCAGTAGATCTAATTGTCTCCTTTTATTCTTTAAATGTGTTTTTATCAAATCTTCATCTGCGGCATCGACTAATTGTTCTTCTAAGGCTATAATGGCATCGGTTTCGTGATCTGTACTCTTTACCCTACATAATAGCTGGAGTATTTATTTGCCGCGTATTATATAACATCGAACTAACAGTTTAGTAGTATAGGGCTACATGTTACATATTTTACCGAAAATTGAAGAGCTGATTTTTTTTGCGCCTAATTTCATTTCACTCTAGCTACAAATAAAAGTTCGATGCCAACTGCAATAACTTTTAAACAAAAATTTGCATTGGTGGGAGATTTCAAAATATCTTATTGGCTACGTGTAAATGTGTCGCAAATATTAGTCCACCGATAATATCTGCGGACGCAAATATTTTAATTTTTAATAAGAAGAATGTTCCTAAATACTTAGAAGGGGGCTACAAGATAATGTAAACTTAAAAGTCTGTCTTTAATTGCCTCCTACTTGGCGTTGTGACTTACAGATAATTTAGAAAACCTTAGAGGGTGGACACTCTCATAAAATTTTATTGTCGGATTATGAGGCGTTTTAAAGGACAGGCTCTATCGGTTACCTGTATATAACTATATACATTTGAATGGACCAGAAAAATGGCTAAAGTTTGTTTGACTACAAATTTTAAATATTCTGTCCCTGTGTTTAATTTTTTGTCTTCGTCTTTCTAAAACGTCTTTTTCTTTCAGTCCATGGTCTGTTGTATTTCTAGCAGTGGCGTAACTACAGGTGTTCCGTGTGTTCGACGGAACACGGGCCCGCTGCTTCAAGGAGCCCGGTCCGGTCACACGAACATTTTTTTTTTATTAGATTTTTTTATATTATTGCCCAAATTACATCCCGAAATAAAAAATTCGAAAATGTGGGGTAATCCCAGGATCGATCGTTCATTGCTTTTTACGAATTTTTTGCTGCAAAGGGCTGGACTTTTGGCGGCATCTCCATATCATAGACTCAATAAACTCGGGTTTTAGCGACCGCCACCGGCGGTCGAAAATGCAGCAGCATCTTTTTCTAATAAACCTGTCGCAGTGCCGCAATCCCATTGTGGCAAATCTAACATCCCATGTAGTACATTACCAATCTTTATCCAACAAAAGTATGACTAATTTTTGATACAAGACAACAAAACACTTAAATTTTGTCCTCAGATCTACAGTGAAACTTCATGCTGTAATAAGACGTGAAAAAAATTCAGTTTCAGTTGTTTTATGAAAACTTTCGTATTTTCAAAACTATTTTAATTTTGTACTTGTGGTGCTTTTTTGGAATAATAAAATATTTCTGATGTATGTTACAACTAATTTCGTAAGTAGAAAAAAAACAGGACTGGGAAATTATTACAGAATGACCTACCTGCACTAGTTTCATTGAAATTATCACAGCATGTTTCACTTTTCTTACAATATCTTCAGCGGAAAGATCTTTTTCGAAATTAAAAATGACTAAACATTTTTTAAGAAACACAATGGGCCAATGCAGATTATCTTCACTGAATCTCTCAATTGGAAATCAAATTGCCAGAAGCTTAGATGTGTCAAATTTTGTATCAGTTTGTGCCCATTGGAAAGCAAGAAGAAAACAATTTTGAGATAAAAAAAAATGGGCATTTTTATCTATACTTCTATTCTTCTATACTTACTTATATTATAAAGCTGAAGAGTCTGTTTGGTTGAACGCGCTAATCTCAGAAACTACTGTTCGAATTCAAAAACTCTTTTTGTGTTGGATAGTCCATTTATCGAAGAAGGTTATAGACTATATATCACGCTACGATCAATAGGAGCGGAGCAGAAATGAAAAATATCCGAAAAACAGGAAAATGATTCCTCCTTTGACAGCTTACGTTGCTTACTGCCCATTCACAATGGACATAAGCACAGATTACATACCCGTAACTGCCCATTCACAATGGACATAAGACATAAGAACGAGAGCATAACATAATTTACGTTTTTGGTTTGTGTCTGGCTTATGCTTATCTACGTTCACAGTGGACAGAGTGAACTCTGTAAGAATTGTTAAACTGCGCAAACGCAGAACGGAATAACTCCTGGCTAAACATAGAAACCGCTAACCTCAAACTGAGTCAATCAAAATATCTAACCTACAATTTCATACGATATTCGAACTTGACAACTCGCAGTACAGAACAGACTCGCAGTGTGAAGCTTTGATTATAATTTATATAATTTAATCAAAGGTGTGAAGTGCCAAGTGCCAACTGTCAAAGGGAATTCAATAGCAGCATTCAAAAGTCCCTAGATTTTAACATAATTTTGACATAAATCGTGCACAAAGTTGAACTTGTTTCAACTTTGTGTACGCACACAAGGATTACATAAAACGTTCATAAGCACAAGAATTACGTTCGTCCACTGTGAACAGGGGTACACGTTTTCCATCGTTTCAACTTTATGTATTTATGTAAACTTTATGTACTTGTTATGCCTTATGTCCATTGTGAATGGGCAGTAAGGGTATGTAATCTGTGACATAAGGCATAACAAGTACATAAAGCTTACATAAATACGTAAAGTTGAAACGATGGAAAACGTGTACCCCTGTTCACAGTGGACGAACGTAATTCTTATGCTTATGAACGTTTTATGTAATCCTTGTGTGTTGTTGAAATAAGTTCAACTTTGTGCACGAATTATGTCAAAATTAATAAAATTATGTTAAAATCTAGGGACTTTTGAATGCTGCTATTGAATTCCCTTTGACAGTTGGCACTTGGCACTTCACACCTTTGATTATATTATATAAATTATAATCAAAGCTTCACACTGCGAGTCTGTTCTGTACTGCGAGTTGTCCAGTTCGAATATCGTATGAAATTGTAGGTTAGATATTTTTTTTGACTCAGTTTGAGGTTAGCCGTTTCTATGTTTAGCCGGGAGTAATTCCGTTCTGCGTTTGCGCAGTTTAACAATTCTTACAGAGTTCACTCTGTCCACTGTGAACGTAGATAAGCATAAGCCAGACACAAACCAAAAACGTAAATTATGTTATGCGCTCGTTCTTATGTCTTATGTCCATTGTGAATGGGCAGTTACGCTGCTTGAACGGTTAAAGTTACATAAAAATCATGTATGATGGAATTGTTCCCTTCTAAAAGTTCTAAAAAAAAGTCCGCGACAGCATATGTCTACCTTTTAAGGTCGACTCGGTATAACCTTTTTTATGGTAATGAAATTTGTTCTAAAATAATCTAATATAAAATTCTGGTGTCACAATGTTTGTAACCAAACTCGTCCGAAACGGCTTGACTGATTTTTATGAAA